ATGGCTCATGCAGCAAATGAGCATAGAGGGTTTTTGATTTGGTGTCAAGAAAATAAGTCCATCAAAATGTGAGTATATCCTGATTTTAGGTTTATATATGGATTTACTATTTATAAATGTAGCATGTGCCTATGTTATTATTTATATTGTCAGAAAAGAAAATATAGATATATGATTTGGAATTTATCAGTTAATGGTAAAGTGACTGGCTTAATAAGTTTTGGGTTGTATATTATAAATCATGTTTAGTAGCAGTTCAGTTCCATATATTTTTTAAAAGAGTATGATTATTGTAGCCAAAAGTTTTCTTTTGATATAAATGGAAGGAAATGGATTTACCATATACATTAACATAGAAAATTATAATATTTTGGAATTCTTTTAGGGACATAATTACCTAAATATTTGATGTTATGTTAGATATTACAAATGAGTACATCATTACCCTTTCACAATGAGTTCCTCTGTAGCTGAACTGATGCAAAGGGCACTGACAGGCTCAGAAAATGGGAAACTCCAGCTTACTGCCATGACACTGACAGGGACAGGATTAACCCCTAAGATCTACAGACACTTAAGCATTTCTGTCCCCCACCTACAAAAAAGGTCTGATTATTCAAATTTAAGTTGCTAGCATTTCAAGGGCTCTATTTTACACTCCAGATAATTTATGTTTCATTGTCATATCTCCAAGTTCAAAGCATGTAGATGAAACATATATGAAGCAACAAAATCATATTTATCTCCTACAGAATGATAGGTTATATAATTAGATATATTCAAAAGCATCTATACGCATGAATAATAACAACAATGATATACCAGGAGGTAAATCACTGATGCACAATACTATGGTGTATGGACGGGAAAAATGGGAGAGAAGGTGAGGGCTTAGCTAGATGAAATATGCTATACTGTGCCAGTATTACTGATTCACACATTCACAAGAAGAAAAAGAGGAGAAATGACTTGATGACTGGCTCAGGGACAGGAGGGCTTACAAGAAGAATGGGGATATGGGGATGATATTGAGGTTGTGACAGGAGGAAACTTGTGAAACAGTGCCAGATGCATTAATAGACACTACATATCTCACAAAAAAGCCTGCCAGTTTTCATGGCAAATAGAGCTGGATGTACATCGTAAACAAAGCCATAATTGTGGTGAATAGGAGTACAGGGGATGAAAGAGATATGCCAGTAATGAACCTTTTCCCCATAATTGTGTAGGTGTACATGTATGTCTGAAGTGCATTACTCTAATTAAAACATTTTTAGTTCACTTTAAATTTTTTCTTTTACACTACTATTTTATGTTCCTAGCATGTGGTCGCTGATAGAAGCTGAATGGTCACATGTTGCTGAAGTCTGTGTTTCACTGCTGCTGCACTTTGTAACTTTACCATGTGGTTCAGACATATTCTGGAAGTTATGTGAAAACCATTTCAATCATCAGGATTGGAAAGTCCGATTTCAAGCAGGTTAGTTGACCCTGAATATCTGCAAACAGTATTATTGATAACTTCATTGGTAGAAATCTGTTTTTTCTACTAGCAGCTGTTTATAGATAAAACAATATTCCTCTTATCTTCTCAGTTGAAAAGGTGGTGGTCATCGGACGGTTTTTAGGGTTATCTGCTGTACGACAGTGTCCAGGACTGCAGGCAGCAATTGCTCATGCATTTTGCTTCCTCATTGCATCTTTAGATGATATTAATGTTGCAGTAGCTCAACGGGCTTCTCTTTACTTGACAACATTACCAGACTGTGGCCTGCGAGCACTTTGTTGGTGCTTAGAACAACAGGTAATGATGGAGTATGATGAAAGTGATTTTGACTGTGTATGTATTTCTAGATTATTTCTCTATATGAAATCCATTTCCTGTTTGCATCACCTGTGCACCATTTTTCCTCGTTTTTCTTCCAGTTTGATAGTGTTATAATGGACAGGCCTATGATCATTCAGGCCCTGCATCAGTTGAGCTCACGTCTTCCAGATCGTAGAATTTTGTCCTGGGAATTCTTTTATAATCGATTTGATGCACTTTATCTTGAAGCTCAGATTGCACTTGAAAAATATGGAGACATTGCATTCCCAAGAGGTAAGAAATCTGATAAGTATAGGTTTGTTATGACTAAAGTTGTACAGTAACATGTTTTTTATCTTTCATAAAAGAATTTTCTAATTTATGTTTGAATGATATATAATTTTACAAAGTATGAAATCCTGCTTTAAGGCTTTTATTGCTGAATGTATTTCTGTTGAGTTGATATATGGAGAAATTCCTAATTCCATTTTGAATTTCATATTCCAGACCTGAAAAATTCAGACATGACAAGTGATGTCTTTGAAAGAAAGTTAAGCAAAGCAAAGGATGCTTTGACTTTGGTTCAGAGTGCAAGTGTTCGAACTCTCTCAGGATCTCTTGGCACAAAATGGCCATACAAACGGACAATGTCAGCACCAGCCAACATGCTTAATCGTGCAGTTGAGAAACAAGGTAGGCATGAGCTTTGATATTCAGTTAAGATATTCATTAACAAGAATAAAGATGGTGATTTTTAATCTCTCAGATTACATAAAAGTATATACTTTATAATTTTTTATATTTCCATAGGGCACATCAAATAGTCATGTCAAGAAAGTTTCTTGTGTTTTGTACTTATGACTTAATCTGTGATGTTACAATGATAGGTATGGAAGTACACAAACAGAAATGTAGTTTGTAGAAGTTTGTGGTATGAATGTAAGTTTGATTTTAAGCAATTTTAAGAACTATTGCTGCAGTTTAGATACAATTGTGATAATATTCAATGTGAAACACTGCACATTTGTGTTATTTGTGGTCTCGTGTCTCATGATGTAACTCTGTCAATTGGTAGGGCTAAATGTCTGCATGGCACACAAAATATAGAAATGATGTTATTTGATTTTAAATAGAACATTTGCTTTCATTAGAAATTTATAAGGGATTTGGAGATGCAGAGTTTAGACTCACACTATGTGACTCTCAAAACAAAAATCTTTCAACTGATTATTCTCTTGCAGCTTTTGTGAATTTAATTTTTGAACATGTATATTTTTGGGGTCCTTCAGTTTTCCCTTGTCCTGAGGTTTTCCACCTGTCTGGTATTTTATGAGTTTCATTTTGCATTAGGTCTTTTTTTTTATAAGGTGTAATACTCATATGATAGATTTATATTTTCGACTTATCTTTGATATTGCCTGCAACATTGCCAAGGACAGTTTTTAACTCTGTGAAATTTTGTATCTGCAATTGCTGTATAGGGATCCCTTTCTGCTGTTGGACTGTTATTGGACTGAGCATTGGACCCAGTAGCATTCATGTGGTAAAATCTGACTACAATAAAAATCCAAGATTGCTAATATTAACACAAAAACTGCGACAAACATCTCATGATGTAAAATGGGGTGACTGCAATATAGAACTTAAATTGTAGGGAGTTCTAAATCATATATTGAAACCTTTATGAGATTCCAGTGACCCATAAGTGGCAACAGCTTCATGAAGATGAACAAAGAAGATTTTTTTTTATTATTCAGTGCTCTAAATGTATATTGTATGATATACATATATTGCATAATGTGTATAGGGTACTGTAAAATTTGATATTCTAGAACTTACATTTGTGCACCATGGAGTTGGGTAGGATTTGATTTGCACAGGTATTTGGTTTTAACTCCTGATTTTTATGTATTGCAGTGTTATTCAATTATTACATTTTATTCACTGTTGTTTGTTTCAAAAGTATGTTGTCTGAGCCTACCTTCATAATCTGATGAATGGATTTCTTTATTTCTATTCATTTTATTTATCCATTTTTATACAGTAACTAACCACAGTTTTCACTGCTTTTGCTTACTGATTTTTCCAGTTATAAACAGGAGTTGCTAAGTACATATTAATATGGTCACAAATACTTACTCTTTGTTATATTTACACCATTGTTTATTAACCACTTGTTGCTGGGAACAAGTGCTGGCTGTTTTATTTTATTACTTATTTTTTAAAAACATAGATCACGGTGGTAATGATGATGATCATCAGCATATTATGATTAATGTTATCATTGTTATTATTTTTATTGTCATTATCATTATTGATATTATTATTGTTGTTCTCATTATTATCATTATTGTTGCATTTATTTTTATTATTTTTATTTTTATTGTTTATTGCTGTTTTTGTTATTATTGTTGATGTCTATGTTGTCATTGTTATTGCTATTATTGTTGTGGTTATTATTATTGTTATTTATTATTATGAATGTTAGTACTATTATTATTATTATTATTGATATTATCATCATTTTTATTATTATTATTATTGATATTACTTTTATTTATGTTACTATTATTATTGTTACTGTTATCTCCATTATAAATATTGTTATCCCTATTATTATAATTTTAATTTTTGTTGTTGTTTTGTTATTATTATTATTCTCATCATTATTGTTTTTATTATTATTTTTGTTATTATTGTTGTCGTTATTATTATTATTATTGTTATTATTATTATTGTTATTAGCATTATTATTATTATTATTATTATTATTATTATTATTATTATTATTATTATTATTACTATTAATATCTTTAACAATATTAATATAATTGTTATTATCATTATGTTGATATTATTATCATAATCATTTTTATCATAATCATTATCATTTTTATCATAATTATTATCATTATTATTATTGTTGTTATTATTGTTATCATCATCATCAATCATCATCATCATCATCATCATCATCATCATCATCATCATCATCATCATCATTACTAAGACTATGACTAATGTGACTACGACTACAACTACAACTATAACTACAACTACTGCTACGACCACTACTGCTACTACTATGACTAGTGCTATAACTACTACTATGACTACTACTACTACTACTGCTACTACTACTACTATTATTGTTATTATTGTTATTATTATTATTGCTATTACTATCATCATCATCATCATCATCATCACATGATTATCTAAGTTGACATCATCACCATTAATATCTTTTTTATTTATTTATTATTATTTTTTTTTTTACAAAGAATCTGGTTAATAGGTGAAAAATTTCTATACACTTCAGGAGCCATCTATGTATTAGAAAGGCAACTCAAGATTTTTTTTTTATAAGAAATGTAGGTTTTGATTACTGCATTCTGTAGCAAATAATTGCTGAGGTATTCCTTTAATAATTTTTTACTAAACATTCTACAGACCAGTAGTATATTACTGTTCAGCACACTACAAAGCAACCCATTCATGGTTATTTATTGATACATCCTTTAATCTTCGTTGATTGTTGGCAATATTGTTTGTCATCTGCTTCAAATGACAAGTTTACAATGGGTAAGGTTTATAAAACAATGTTTGTTTACTACCATTACTATTAACCCAGCCTCCCAGACTTACCAGAAAGATGTTATAGAAAATAATGACTATTGAAACCATAGCTGTTGTGTAAATGTATTACATGGTCTTCAGTCACCACTAGTGACACTAGAATATGGAGATCAACTTTGAGTTTTATGGCTGCTCTTTTTCAACAAATAATTTAGAAATATAAGCCCAATAATAATTAAAGGGAAATTCATTTAACTTTCAAACTTAAAATGCCTTGACAATCCTACTTATGGAAACATTTGCCCTAGATGGCAAAAACAAGATCAAATATTTACATTTAAGGTTGATACAAGACTGAACATAAGTAATTCATGACTTTGGTAGAGGTGAAAGAATGGGTGCATTGATGTGAAGAACCTGTAAAAGTCAGCCCAGTCCAATTATCCTAGATAGAAATTCAAGGCAAGGAAATTTATGCTACAGATAAAAATACATATTAGAAAAATTATTACCATCCAATTGGCATTTTCGCTCTCATTTAGAAATCATGCTGATGGTCAGATCGTTATCTACTTAACCCCTTCGATTGTCATTGAGATTTTATACTTTTTTACCTGTGCTCCTCCTGTGCAACTATATCAAAGAAATGGCAATGATAAATTAATTCAGTGTACGCTACCATCTTCTCCCATTTTTTCTATATACAGTCATATTTGCCGGTGCAACTCAGGAAAATTATATTTCGAATCTTAACGTTAGCCCTTTAAAACAAATTCCTTTCATCTACAAAGTATCGAAGAATATCTCCTGCTGCATTCTTGCTTTTTTTTAAAATCCTCTTGGCATTAGCAATATTTAGGACGCGAAAAGTAGCTGTTACCAAGGATAAAGGCTTGAAATACTCTTTTTCTTTCTCATTATCAGCCTTCTTCAGCTAATTTCCTGTAATTGAATCAATTCGACTAATACCGATTAATCAAAAGAAAAAGAGACAGAAACATTGTGGTCCTATTTTCTTTCATAGCATTTTAGGAATGTGCGTATATAGTATGATGTATTATATATGTATGCTGCGCTGGTACTATTATTATTACTTCTATATATATATATATATATAGATAGATAGAACTAGAGTTATTAACATACTATCTATACATACCAACGCACTCTCATACATACATATCCATACATAACATACATACATACTACAACGTATACATACTTCATACATACATACATATCATACACTATCATACATCCATATATACAAACATACCATACATACATACCATACATACAATACATTACACACACTACACCATTGCATTACGATGCTTACCATACATTTACAGTTATAACATACAAGTTACATTACGAACACATGTTATACATAACATGTGTATGTGTTGTGTGTTAAATAATACTATATTTAGCTATATATACCTATATATTACCCTATATCATATTATTATATATAGTATATTATATGATTGTAGGTATATCAATCTTATTAATTCATTATCTATCCATATCGTCGTAGGCTATAGATAGTACGGAGTATTAGGTAGACTTATAGGCCAGATTAGCTGAACTACGACGGCGTTCGATATGTTACCTGCGCCTAAGTTAGGATAGCATAGTATAGCAGAAGACCAGGAACAGGACAATAGAACCTATAGCAGTTGACTTGAGATTGAGCCTTTGATTGATTTGGATTGGATTTGTTATTGTAGGGTGTTACGCATTCACTACATATACATAACCACCCCCTATAACCGTCAATTTATTATGATATGTCTCGTATCAGATATATATATCCTACTTATCGATACTATTTTATATCATAAAATATATTAATATTATTTAGATATACACTGACCTATTATACGTATATATACGACATCCACACTATCATACAACATAGTACGTTATAGTATATAATTCATCGCTGATTATTATATGGTTTTAGTGATAAAGGCCTATATATATTATAATTATATCTCACGTGAGTATAGGTTGACATTATTATTAGTTTTATAATATCAACGTTATATTATTATGCCAACTTTACCATTAACTGCCGTATATATATTATAAGCTATCGCTAACTCTAT